TTTTTAAATTTTTTTAGATAAAATATAAATTTTAATTATAATTTAGCGTTTGAAATTTGGTTGAAAATTCTAATATTCTTATTATGATATAAAATATAAACCTAATTTTAAAAATTAAATGGTTGTCAAAACAAAGTCAAACTCAAACCATTATGAATTAATTTAAGGTAATTATTTATTTTATATTTTTTTCTTATTTAATGTTTAATTTTTGTATATTTTGCACGCTCATTTTTTAATATTTAAATTTAATATTTTGAGATAACGAGTTTATGTCGCTGTTTTCTCGTTTAAATATTTAAAGTTGATGCTCTTTTTGTTAAAATATTAGTTTACGTCGTTTCAAATATTTAAATTTAATTTTTAAAATTCATTTTTATAGGTTAGGTTAAATTGTGAATTTAATTTTTTATTAAATTGAGTAATAGTATCAATAATAATTTCTCAAAATATTTCCAAAATTCAGAAATAAAACTAAATAATTTCCAAATTCTCAGCCGTTGGATGGTTGTCCAAATCAAGAGAAACGTGATGAGAAGGTAAGATCGAAGGGTGGAGATTTGATTTGAAACAAAAAACTGTAGTCTGTAGCTTGAAGCAAGAAAACGACATGGTTTCAGGCAGGATTTGTTTTCAGTTGCCGTAAAAACGACAAATCGACCCATCAATCAATCAATCAGTAAGCAGTATTTTATTTACAAAAAGACCCTACCAACAAACTTGGAACCCCCCCAACTTTTTCTTTCCTTGCAAAACGGACCCTCAATCCTCTACTTCGCACCCCACCGTAACTCTCATCTGATTCTACCACCACTCTAATCAGACGGTCCACATTCTGTGGACCCCACCCCGAGTACGCACAGTAAGAATGGTGGAGCTTCCCTCTCTTTTTTTAAGTTTAATTAATTGGGAGGAGGTGACCACGTTGGGGTTCTGTCGGCCCTCAACTATCACATTACCAGAATCATGTCGGCCACCGTGTAAAAAGGTATTTTTCGAATTTTTTTTTTGTAATCCTAAATTCCTTTAGTTTTTAATATATTTTATTTAATAGGTCTATAAACTTTATTTAATATTTAATAACTCTTTCTATTTTTTTTTTAATTCTGAAATATTAATAGTATATATTAATTTTTTTCAATTTTAGTTTCTATTAGATTAAAATAAATAAAACAATTATCAGGAGCTGCTCGTAAATATGATATGTATCACATCTACCTTGTAAATGTTCGGACTATGCCTTGATTATTAATTATGATAAACTTCAAGAACGCACATACGAAGATTTCTTGAGAAAGACCATAAAAAAATTCACGAGAGATGGATGAGAACTAGAGCTGTCACTTTTTCTTCTTTCTAATAAATATAACCATATGAGCGTTCTTTCAGTGAATTTTTCTATTTCAATTTTTAACAAGTGGACAATTTGGCTGAGTGGCTCAGGCGCCAGATTTAGGCTCTGGTCCAAAAGGGGGTGGGTTCAAATCTCATGGTTGTCACATTTGTTTTTTTTTTTTTTAATAAATATAACCATACAAGCATTCTCTCGGTGAACTTCTCTATTTCCATTTTCAACAAGTGGACAATTTGGTTGAGTGGTCTAAGGCGCTAGATTTAGGCTCTGGTCTGAAAGGGCGTGGGTTCAAATCTCATAGTTGTCACATTTGTATTTTTTTTTAATAAATATAACCATACGAGCGTTCTCTCAGTGAACTTTGCTATTTTCGTTTTCAACAAGTGGACAATTTAGCTGAGGGTCTAAGGCATCAGATTTAGACTTTGGTCCGAAAGTTCATAATTCTTTTCAGCCTCTATAAGCGGTTCAAATTCCACAGCTGTCACATTTATTTTTTATTTTTTTTTCCCAATAAATATAACCATACGAGCGTTCTCTCAGTGAACTTTTGTATTTCCATTTTCAACAAGTGAACAATTTGGCCGAGTGGTCTAAGGTGCCAGATTTAGGCTCTGGTCCGAAAGAGCGTAGGTTCAAATCCCACAGTTGTCACATTTTTTTTCCAATAAATATAACCATACGAGCGTTCTCTTAGTGAACTTTTCTATTTGCATCTTCAACAAGTGGACAATTTGGCTGAGAGTCTAAGGCATCAGATTTAGGCTTTTGTCTAAAAGGGTGTGGGTTCAAATCCCACCGTTGTCACATTTGTAATTTTGTATTTTTTTCAATAAATATTACCATATGAGCATTCCCTGTGTGAATTTTTCTATTTCAACTTTTAGTTATTGGACAATTTAGCTGAGTGGTCTAAGGCGTTAGATTTAGGCTCTAGTCCGAAACGGCGTGGGTTCAAATCTCACAGCAATTTTGCCAAGCTCTAGTTTGAAAGAGCATGTGAATTTGACAAGAAGGTGGGTCGGTCATCAGATGCCAAACTCAATCCATGTACACTCCTTGTTTTGAATTGAAAAAATTTATAACTCGAACCATTTGACTAAGTCTGAAAAATGAGTAAACTAAATCCGAACGGATTGGACAAGTACTGAGATTCCTTCGACCCACTAACCCCTCTAAAAATATATATTTAATTAATTATAATCTCTAAGGATTTTTGTCATTTTTGTCCTATTTTTTCAATCGACCCCATAACATATCTTATAACACAATTATAACCTTATAGATATGGATTTTATGAATTTGATTGACGAGGACAATTTTGTATTAGTTATTTATTTTCTTTATTTTTTTCGGACTGAAATTTAGTGGTTTGGAATTATACACTGAAAAAATAATAATAATAATAATAAAACTCTGACCCCATTATTATTATTTTGTAGTTATAATTTATACTCCAGAATTTCAATAATATTTATTGAATTTAAATTATCTAATTTGGATAATGTAATTATTTAATACTTTTTTTATCGATAAAGTTAGTATTTAATTATATTTTAATTTTCTCGAACTTTACAAAGCGCGTAAGTTCTAGAAAGCTGATTTATTATTATCATTTACTATAAACTGATATTAAATAATTTTTATTAAATAAAAATGAATGACCATTTTTACTATAAACTGATATTAAATAAATGATAATTTATTATTATCATTTAATAATTTTTTAATGGTTAAATTCTGCATTTTTATTAGCCATTTATCCCGAATTTGAAGTTAAATTACCAAAAAAAAAAAAAAGAATATTAAATATTATAAGCTTTCTTTAAAAAGTTATTATCATAACATATTGGTTATATGAGATCCTACGTAAGTTCGAGAGGGAAACAAAATATTTCTTATAAAGGTGACATTTCATTAATAGACGCGTTTTAAAATTTCGAGAAGAAGCATAAAGCTGAAAAAGACAATATCGAGTCATGGTGGGCTTGAGTTATACGGGTTAAATTAATAAAAAATAATATCCTTAAACTTCAAAAAATAATTGAAAATCATTAATAAAGATTAAAGGGTATAAACGTAATTTAAAAAAAAAATCATGTCTATTTTTAAAATATAATATTAACATATTAATTGTTTTAAGTTAAAGGTATTAATTAAATTTTATAAAATTGGAAGGTATTTTGAAATATTTTTAAAATTTTAAAGATATTTTTAAAATAAAATATAAATTATTTAGGAAAGATATTTGAGATATTTTTATTAATTTAATAAAAAATTATTTATTAAAAGATGAAATAAAGATGAAAAGAAAATACATAGAAAAGTAGAAGCGAGAAAGTAAAAATAAAATAAAAAATATAATATATAATAAGAAAAAATTGGAGGTTTATTTGATAATGATACGGATTGCTTTAAAAGGTCCACACTGTGAGGACAACTACGAGTTCCAAGAAAATGCATAAACACACTTGTCTACGTGTCACTTTCTCTCAAATAATGCAACCAATATTATTATATTTATTTATTTATTTTTAAATTAATTGATTAAAAAATTCGACTAATTCAACCCAACCCAACCCAACCCATAGGTTGAGTTATGAACGTATTTTCGGGTTGGGTTTAAATAAAAGAAAAAAACGTGTTTATTATTCACATTCTTACAAATATTTTTTAATTAAATAAGTAAATAAATATTTAAGTATATAGTCAGCAACTAGTTATGAATCACGACTCTCCATAATGATATGATATTATCTACTTTGAGCATGATCTCTTATGGTTTTGCTTTGTGCTTCCCCAAAAGACCTCATACCAATGGAGATAGTACTTCCCGCTTATAAACCCATGAACACGAGTAATCTACCAGAGTTCTACATGGCTGGTAATAAACACTAAGGGTGTATATCGGTTAGATTGGAAAAATCTTTTAAAACAATCTAAAATTTTAAATCGATTAAGTTAGTGGTCCCGAGAATCATGAGAAGAATAGAGTTAAGTTGAATTAGGTTGTTAAAAACTATACTCATTTACAATACATGTTACGTTAATAACTAAAATATCATAACTTTCAAATATCAGACATTTACAAGTCATAACATATCACTAACATCTGTTGCAAACATTCAATATTCTTATCGTGTTGAGCTGTAACCGTATTTTATGGTTAGTTGGGTTTGACTAAACCAAAATAATATCAACTCGTAAACCGAACCAAATGTTTTGTTTTTAAAAAACTTAACCCAACCTTTATGGTTCGGTAGTTTGGGTTATTTAGATTATCAGGTCATATAGACAGGTAGATATTATTATTATTATTATTTTTAGTATTATGTATAAAATAATATATATTTTTAAATAACTTTTAAATTTGTTCTCGATTTTTACTTTATTATAAGTCACGTTGCTGTCTTAAATGGTGGAAACATATTCACGAATTGTATTTTTGTTGAATAAAAATTATTATAATTATTTTATAAAATTTGCTAAATTTGTATGCATATTAAATAAAAGGAAAATAATAATAATAATAATAATAATAATAAATGGAATGCATTTTTTAAAATATTTAAATTGGCAAGTGCTAATTTAATTTATTAAAATGAAAAATAAATAAATAAATAAAATAAAAAAGGAAAGGTGGAGTCCAGAAGAAAAAAAAGAAAGTGGCTCTCTCTTTCTCTAGACTACGCTCACGCATAGGCGGAGCCAACCTCGCGCTTGGCAATAAGCATCTCATTCCTTGTTTGTTCTTCGGCAAAACACACCATTCGAGAACACCTGCACTTCTTTTCTGCCATTACCAATTCCGGCAACCTCTTTCTTCTTTCAGTTCAATCTGTTCCTATTCCGATGCCGATTCTTGTTTCTTTATTTTAACCTCCGCCGGTTTTGATTAGCGTCAGATACGACTTTCTCCGACGATTTTTTTTTTCTCTCTCTCTCTCTCTCTCTCTCTGGTGTTTTTGTTTCTGGCTTTTTGAAGCGACTTCTACTATGGAAGAAATGTACGGTTTGCAATCGACGGCGGAGTATTCTGATAAGGCGTTGATGTCACCGGAGAATCTGATTCTGCCTCCGGATTATCAGAGCCTACTGGTTACTTCTGGAGAGTTTCGCGATCGGATTCCGGTGTTTGGATCCAACGAACTGCTTTCGGCGGCGGCTTCGGTGATTTCGGAAGCTGAAGCAGCGTCGATCACGATGGAAATTCAATGTGAAGAAGATATGGTGAACGTGATCAAAGCTAAAATTTCTTCTCATCCTACTTATCCTCGATTGCTCGACGCCTATATTGACTGCCAAAAGGTGAACCGGTAGCTCTCTTTCTCTATCAGCCAGAGGAAAAAAAAAACGCCGGCGGTTCACTGCGCAGTTTCTCGCACTGTGCTTTGAGTTTTTGACACGGACACCTTACGAAAATTCTAAATCCTGAATCCTAATCCTCTCTTCTTCTTTCTTAATTATTTTTTTTTTCTCGTTCTTGTAACTGGAGAACAAATGCTTTCTCGGCTTTAAATGTTTCCGCAGACGCTGTCAACGAAGACGTAACTAGGATAGAGAGAATTTGGCTATTTACTATTTGCTGGAACGCTTTCTTCTGAGGGTTCAGTTTTTGTCTCCTTCATTTTTCTCTTTCTTTTGAGCTTCGTACGTCTTACAGAACAACATGATTATGCCTATGATCTGATTTCGAATTTGGCTAGAAATTAGGGGGAAAACTGCGAGAAGAGAATTGTTATTTAGTCGTTCAATTTTTTTTTGAGTAATGATTGTCAGAGTTTGTTTTTTAAGTTGATTATTTATGATACCGAGGCGGTTGAAGTCCGTGGAGGATTGATTATTTGTTGTTGTAGCAAAAACTGGTTCGCATGAATTATGAGATGCGGGTTTATTGTGCGCAGGTAGGAGCGCCTCCGGCGATTTCACATTTGTTAGAGGGAATCCGTCAAGAAAGCGACATTTGTAACCGTCACGCTGTAACCACGTGCTTAGGCGTCGATCCTGAACTCGATGAATTCATGGTTACTACTTCCTTCTTCTTCTCCATGAACAATCAAAATCTCTCTCTCTCTCTTTCTCAATTTCTCAGTGCTGTTTTCGTTTTGTTAATTTTATGGTTTCTTTTTTGTTCTTAGGAAACGTACTGCGATATGTTGGTGAAGTACAAATCAGATCTCAAGAGGCCCTTCGACGAAGCAACCACGTTCTTGAATAAGATCGAGCTGCAACTTAGTAACCTCTGCAATGGCGCCTTCTCCAGAAGCCTTTCCGGTCAGTATTGTATAATCATTACTTACATTTGATTAATCACTTTCCGTTTCGAATGCTACTGTTTTGTTTGGGTTTATTACGCTTATTAAGATTAATTAATTATATTTTATCGTCGTTGCCTGTGTTGGTCTCGAAGAACGAAGAAAATAATAATAACAACAACAACAATAATAAAAGATTGGTAGATTACTGACCGCTGATTGAGAAACCTAAGATCGTAATAACCGATAACACAAAGGAACAGCAAAACCCTAGGAACTATATTGATCATCGGCCTGTGTCTTTGATTGCAACGCTTATCTACAGTCGCCGTTTTTGGATTACGACCTTGTTAATTGTTCGTTGAATGGTGATTCTTTATTGATTACATTGGAAATCTTCGAGTGCAATAATGAAGCTTCCAAACAGTGTTTTCTAATAATTTAGTGTTTTAATTATTACATTTTGCTTTGGTTTAATTGAAGTTGTTCATCTATCTTGTTTGTTGTGTTTGTTTCTTTTTCCTCGCTTTTCTTATCCTTCTTTTAAAAAAATTCTTTCCGATTTTCATGTTATATGACCAAAAAATATAAAAATGGAATAAAATATCAAAATCAATCCTGAAAGTGTGAACTTTTCTGTGTTTAAGATTCTGATTTTGACATTTCAGAGTTACCTTCGAGATAGGAATATGATTGGGCATATGATATTAATTAATAATGTTTTTCCATATTTATCAACTGGTAGAAAATCCTCTCGTAAGGCTTTCAATTATATATGTATCTCATTTTTTATGGACTCCTCCCTTTAACTAGTTCTTCTATCTCTCTCTCTCTCTATAATTATAGACAAAAGGGTACTTGTTTTTAATTCGTTGGTCCGAAATACAGGTTGCCTCAACCTATCCTGTCTTGTCTTTGAGTTCTTAAATGAGGTGTCTTAGTAAACACACCAATTCATAACCATATTGTTAATGTATTTTATATCCATATATGCTATTCACCTATAATTATTGACTTACTTATATCGTTGTGTAGATGCAACATTATTTTCTGTAATTTTCGATCCCAAATCCTATGGAAAAATTCAAGTTGCTCCTATATATTTTGCCTTTCTGTGTTGCTTAGAGCCTTTAGTATTGAGAATAATTAGTGAATCATGCCGAATATTGCATTAAAATTTCACGAGGAATGACAAAATCATATATTTTTTGTCTTCCAATATTTCAAATAGATATTGAGTTTGAGTTTATATATACTTTAAGTAGTAGATAGGAGGTCAAGAAGCCATTGGTCCTACCCACATATATTTGTTCTAACAATAATTTCTTCAATTGATCACTGTTGTAGATTTTTTTTTTTTGGGGGGGGGGGGGGGGGGAAGTAGTTTGGAATGCCATTAAGGAGATAAAAGATGTGAATAATTCTCACTCTAACAGCTAACATCATTGCATTAGTGTGTTAATCAATGAATGTGTCCGTATTATATGCTGAATCTTTCTTAAGATATATGATAGACATTATCTTAATGTGATTGTGATAGCTGTGATAATGTTTGTCGAAGATATTTTATTATAATGTCAAATTTCAATGGAGCGTGAGTGGTTGATGTAAGATGTGGAAAATTTGAAAATGAACCTTGAGACTTGTCAGGTGCTGCGGACTACTGATAAAGTGAAGTTGAAGCAGTATCTTCTTGAAACTTTATTAGTTCATTTAAGTTCTGAATAATTTCAATCCCCAGGTAGGAGAAACCTCATTATTAAAGAACATCACTGACTTGCTTTGTGTTGTAATGCTCTCTAGTTTCTCTGACATGCAACTTATGAGAATGGGCATGGCAGGCTTTAAAGCTTAAATATGATAATTAAAAAAATGAGTGATCTTAAAAGAAAAGCTTGTAAATCAAAGATAATGGTTGGCAACTATTGTTTTTAATTTACTTTGGAAGTACAAATTAACTTTTCAGGTGTGATGTTATCTTCATTAAAAAAATAGCCTCGTGTTCGACTTGTCTTAGCACGAGAGCTTTAGTGAGTTCTTTATATGCTTTCTCATATATATTCACTTATATAAAAGTCTCTTTGGACATGCGACCGTTGGCAGACTTCCATTTGGATTTCATAGGGCATATATTCACGTGCTCGAACGGTATTTTGCTGCCAAAATCTGGCTGGCTCATTTTTAGCAAGAACTTTGCATCTCGGACAACAAGGATTTGGTCCGATATATTAGGCTTATTTTCTTACTAAATCATTGCACTCTCTTTGGACTTTTAATTTCTAAGGGAATTCCTTTGTATTACGTAGTCGTAATGCTTTTCCATCCTCATCCAGACCATCATTGATAGATAGATTTGTCTTAAGAGAAAGCTAGGTCATAATTTTGATCAACGAAAGTGGGATTTGTTAGCAGAAATTATCCCAGAAAATTGAAACGGTATGACCGGTTGATGGTATTTAATGTCATCATCAACACATTGATTTTTGTTTGGATTTCTACTTCTAGTTCGAGATCCATAAAGGCGATGATCTAGCTGTGATCATCATATAAAATCACTAAGTTTCTTTCTGGACAGTGAGTACTGCATTATTTTGTCTGGAACCACCAGCTAATTAAAGACCACCTTTCTTTGGATGTATAAAAAATTGATGTAATGGCATGAGTAATCATTACATATTGGTTGCATATCTAGCTTACTTGTGATGTTTGTGAGTTGGTTTTTATAGTGTTTTCTGCTGGTTACTGTGAAGCTTCACATAGATAGCAGTAATCGAATTATCTTTTCTCCGAACCCACTATTTGTGTACAGCAGGATTCCTTGCATATGAACTCTAATGTGTCCCAAATTTTATAGACCTGGATCCGAGCCTTTTGATGAAGAAGAATTAGATGGGTCTTTTAAACCTAGGGTCTGTAAGCGCGAGTACTGGTGGGCACATACTTATATCTGCCATTAGGGAAGAACGAAGCTTTTTATTTCTTCCATAGTTATTTTACTTAGTCTGCAGAGAAGGGTTTTAACAGATCCTCAATATAATGGTCACGGCTTGTTTTGCTTGATCACCATTATCATTCAGGAGTAAGAAGCTTGAAAGGACAGCGTGCGGGGTAGAAAATAAGTTCTGGTAATGGCATGTCCCACGATGAATACTGAGAAAGTTAAGAAAGGGACAAAGAAATAAATGGAAAAGTTTAGGGGAAAGCCCGGGTTGAGCGGGTGGTCGAGGTTTCCACACTGTCACATGTACTCCCGCAGTTTTCGCTGCGAAGGTGCTTTTGGTGCCCTCTCTCACCCCACGCAATTGGTCACTCCTAGCTGGTTAGTGGTTGTCACTTCTATCGACATGTACTCTGCCGTGTTCTTTGTGCAGATGACGTGTACGACACGTGTCTCTTTCTTGCTGGGTAGCTGAGATTTACTGTACTCACCCTCACTCGTATCCTTTGCTTTATCTTTTCCCCTTTTGGGTCCCTCTTTTTTCTTTCTTACACTAAGATTGAAGTAGGTGCCTATCACCGACTTTTTACCTTTGTCTGAACAGAATCAGCTAACTAGGCAAGAGATGGGGTTGGATCAGAATAGTTCCTCGCTAACCAGGTGGGATTCTCATGTTCTTGCCAACAAAATAATCACACCCACGTCCGGATTATTATTTTTTTTTTTCTTTCAAACTTCTAAGTGTGACATTTGAAAGTCTTGGTCTGAAAAGGGTGGGCATTTAATTCACTATCAACTAACAACTACCATGTGCTTTGTTCCTGGCTGTGTGACTGGGCATTACCCGGTAGTAAGGATATGGGTAAAGGGTCACTTTCTAGCTAAAGGGAACTGCACCAGGTCGTGTGGTGGGGTCATTGTATTACTGCTCATGGGATTATCATCGAGTGAGGGAGGAGATTTTTAATACAAACCTCGAGACTCTCGTGGGTCATTCCAGAAAGCGAATTTATGTGGCCGTTCAGTCTTGTCTATTCTGACTGTGAGTTCCTCACGCACCCATCCCCCCCGTCTGACAAATGACTTAACCAGACACTGCTGAAACGCACCTTGGCTTCTCTTTTCCTTCTTCCCCTTTTGCAGTTGCCAGTCAAATCCTTGTTTTACCTTTGAATGCCTTTCTCTGTGGGGTCCTCTTCATCATGTCCCGCCCTTTCAATGTCAATCTGCCCTTCTTACTGAGATGTTGAATCTTATTATTATTATTTTTTATTGCATTTGGTTATATACAGTATCTGAATTATTACTGCCAAGTAAGAATATTTTTACTGTAACGTGAATAATAGATGAAGGAGCTGTCTCGTCGGATGAAGAGTTGAGTGGAGGAGAGATGGAAGCTGTGGAGGCGGAGACTCAAACCAAAGGCGAGAAAAGGGATCTCAAGGATAAGCTATTACGCAGATTTGGCAGTCATATTAGTAGCTTAAAATTGGAGTTCTCAAAGAAGAAGAAAAAAGGAAAATTACCAAAAGAAGCCAGGCAAACCCTCCTTGAATGGTGGAATGTTCACTATAAATGGCCATATCCTACGGTATGTTTGCTTATAACCTTTCTTAAATTTTCTTGATGCATTACCACAGTTCATTATGCCATACTCACGTACTATTTCCAACATAAATTTTGTGTGTTAAACTATTAGTTTATCACGCAATTCATGATATTTCTACTTATTAATTGCCATTAGATGTTGGAGTTCAAATTTCCACACAAAATGCTTTTTTTAAACTTAAATAAAGCGGTTTGGATTAAATAATAAATACCCACATCATGGAGAGATATATTCAAATATTGCTTCAAGTTTGAGGGCCATAATCCACTGCTTTTAATCATACAGGAAGCCGATAAGGTTGCACTGGCAGAGAGAACAGGGCTTGACCAGAAGCAAATTAACAATTGGTTCATAAATCAGCGGAAACGCCACTGGAAGCCATCAGAGAATATGCAGTTGGAAGGAGTGGATGAGCTTTCTTCAGGTAGATTCTTCAGAGAGGACTGAAACACACTTTAAATGATCTCAATATGTATATTCCCAATGCTGTTTGAGCTCTTGTTTGCTTTCCCTTCCATGTATATCTAATCTATATATATATATATTTATATGGCTAAGAATTTGGACACTGAAATTATTGCTTGTGTAACCAACAAAGAGAATAAATTCCAGTTTCTGGCATGCCTACTCTTCAAATTTCTAAGAACAAGAAGTTTACAGTTATCCTAAATGTGCAGAGACAGTTAGAAGCTGATAATTTCCTCGCATTATTAGATTACATGGACTCAAGTCTCAATGTTCTCTGCAAGAACAAAGCTTGGACCTTACACCATACAAATACCACTTACCTAACTCACAAAGACATAGTCCCTCAGGTCAGATCGGAATGTTGAGTCGTTATAACGTAGTCGATGAGAAGCGTGACGGTCTAGACAGACGGCGTTGGCGAGGTGGGACTTGGGAGTATGACACAATTGGGAAAAACTATGGCTAAGTTATGCCTGTAATTAGGTTGTAGAGTAGTATGTTATATACAAGGTCTGGCATCATTTCACAGGAACAACACTCATCTAGGATCGATGATGCTTTGAGTCATGCTAGTTTGTGAATTTTTCGAGTTGGAGTAGAGATTGGGATTGGATGAGTCTGATGAATTGTGTTTTTTGATGTCTCCGCTTGAAGGATGAAGATATGGAGGCTGTTTTGGCTGGGGAATCTCATAGTTTCCATTAAGCATTTTCACAACCATTGACATGGATGGCCTTAAGTCAGCAAAGGCTTGCACACAAACTAGACCTATTTGAAGCAACCACGACGCTTGGTCTCGTGGATAATCGCCTCCAAGGGTAGGATCGACAGCTGCATATAGCCTTCCCTCTCCATAAAAATTCCATACCTTGAGAAGCAATGAGGATCAGTGTCGGTTTAGCTGTAAATTAGAGAAGAATACTATGATGTAATGGAGAAAAGGTTTACCCTTTGTAAGATGGAGGTTGAATCTTGATAGAAGTGACCATTCCTCCTTCCTGTGATAACTTCAATGGCAAAAACTCCAAAACTGTAAACATCGGCCTTCTCAGACAACTTGCCACGTACTACATACTCGGGAGCCATGTAACCTCTGCAAGTACAAAACTTGTCAATAGTCTGATACTTTAATATTCGAAGACGAGCTGAAAAGCTAATATTTTCATGAAACTTATAATGTTTGTATTGTAGATGCACGGGTTGAAGTATAATGACAAACTTGTTAAGATTAATCCAATGCATTACATACACCCAGATTTGTCACTTGTAATGTAACACAGTTCAGATATCTTCTTGATAGACTTCACACAATGAATTCCGAAGCATAATATAACGGCCAAAGCCTACTACTAGTAGATATTGTCCTTTTTAGGCTTTTCTTTTCGAGTTTCCCCTCAAGAATTTTAAAACGTGTCTGATAGGGAGAAGTTTTCACACCCTTATAAGTGTTTTGTTCTTCTTCCCAGCCGATGTTGGATCTCACAATTCACCCTCCTTTGGGGTCAGTGTCCTCGTTGGCAATCGATGTGGGATCCACCAATCCTTGAGATCCCACATTGGTTGGGATGGAGAATGAAACATTCTTTATAAAGGTGTGAAACCTCTCCTTAGCAGACACGTTTTAAAAATCTTAAGGAAAAACCCGAAAGGAAAAGCTCAAAGAAGACAATATCTCTTAGCAATGAGCTTGGGCTGGTACAGAAAAACGTGTTTCGTCTAAATTTCTTCACATTAGGACATCTTGCTCTATATGCACATTCAAAATGGCATCAAAAGGTTCTTAAATAATGAGTACCAAATGGTATTCTGAAAACTTACAGTGTGCCAGCAATTGCAGTGCTAATGTGTGTCTTATCTTCAGGAAGCATTCTAGCAAGTCCAAAATCAGCAATCTTTGGAGTGAAATCATTGTCCAGTAGAATATTGCTCAACTTTATGTCCCGATGAATGATTTTCAAATCTGACTCCTCATGAAGATAAGCCAACCCTTCAGCTGTTCCCAACACAATCTTAAACCTGGATGCCCAACTCAGTGGCTGCACGTTCTTGTTACCTTATAAACATGGAAACAGAGAGATTTAGCCAAAAATCCTTTAAGCATATAGCAATTCATAGGTGAAATTATTACCAAAAAGGTAATCGTGCAGGCTTTGATTTGGCACATATTCATAAACAAGGAGGCTTTCAGGACCAGTAATACTGCATCCCAACAGCCCGACAAGATTTTTGTGTCGGATGCCACTTATCAAGTTTACTTCATTAAAGAAATGATCCACCCATTGTCTCGTGTTGAAGAACAGCCTCTTGATTGCTACGACTCGACCATCTGACAGAGTTCCCTGATTAACATGAGAAACGTTAGGATATAACAGCCCAAGCCCACCACTAACATATATTGTCTTCTTTGTATTTTCCCTCAAAGTTTTTAAAACATGTCTGCTAGAGAGAGGTTTCCACACTCTTGTAAAGAATGCTTCGTTTTCCTCCCCAACCGACGTGGGATCTCGCACAGAATCATACCTTATAAACTGAACCAGAGCCTCCTTGTCCAAGTTTATTGGATTGGTCGAAGTAATTAGTGGCCCTCTCAAGGGTCTCGTATGAAAAATTAAGCTTGGACTTGTTAACAAGAGCCACAAGAGGACCAAGGTGCTTCTTCTCTGAAACAAAAAGACGTTGTAATGAGTTGAACAATTTATAGACGATTGAAAGAAGACATTACCATTGCCACATAATAAAAAGCACATACCTCTGCGCTTCCTCACTACTTTCCTTCTGGCACAGAAAACAGCCGTTGCAAAAATCAATGCAGCAGCCACAGCAGCCGATACCGAAGCCAAAATTATCGCTAGACGACTCCTTCCTGTAAAAAGTTAACATATGAACCATTTGTCACCATATCCAAGGATAACAGTTGATATCTTTACCAAGTGCTTGGTGCCTAAAACAACAAGCAACTCTGCAGCCCATAATTTTGATGTATCACATTGTAACAGTCTAAGCCCATCGCTAACAGATATTCTCCGCTTTTGCTCGTTACATATCACCGTCTACCTCACGGTTTTAAACGTGTCTACTAGGGGAGAGGTTTTCACACCCTTACAAGGAATGTTTCGTTTCCCTTTCCAACCGACGTGGGATCTTACTATTTGTTAGCAGATAATATCTCTTAGTGGTGAGCTTGGGCTGTTACACACATGGTTTAACGATGTCGCTTTACAAACCCGATTCAAGTAAGCTGCTATAGGCACCTTAGAAAGCTCCCAGTTGACAAATGCATTCACATGAATCATGATTTAGATTTTCACTGGGACTCTTATGAGCATACCATTTATAATTTGGAAAGTCACCTACATGGTTGGTTAGTTTCATCTCATGCAATAGTAAATGGATTTCTTGAATCTAATCCGTTTTGAAGGTTAAGTTTTGTAGGGCCATTCAAGCTTCAAACTCAAACTAAGTTAAAACTCTCCACAAATTCTCTACCTCTCTCTCCACAATGTTCTAAACAGCTATTCAACTCATGAACAATAGAAAAAGCAGGGCATCAAAGAAATAAGAAGTAACCCAGTGAAGAGGCAAATCATCAAACAATACATCTGCAAGTAAACAAGACCAAACTCACCATTTCCTCCGGTGGCGGTCGCCGTGCTATTGAAGTAGAATCGTTCAGTTGAATATCTGAAGAAGCAGCCAGCATTCAGCACCCTTCCATCGGCTTTTGGAGGACAGGTAGCAATTTCCTTAGCTGCATCAGCCAAACACTTCGAGCAAGAATCCCCTCTCACAAATTTCCAACACTGAGCCAATCCATAAACCGAGACATTCCTAAAATCCACCAATCCTACAGCAAATCCATCGTTCTTGGGCGCTACTACACTCAAATTCCTCGCTAATTTCATAGCGTTATCACTAAAAATGGTCCGATTCCCTCCATAATCCACCTTCCCACATACAGGCCTATCCACAGCACTCAAAGATTCATTGAAGAAATTATAATAATCATACCTAACATAGCATCCATCATAGAACAGTCTACCTCCGCGAGTAGCAAGCTGAAAGGGAAGACACCGCAGGATCTGAGTTTTCATCTGCGCGAAACAGAGATCGCAGTCCGATTGAGTAAGATCATTCATACACTGACCAAACGCATAAACCGTCGTATTTCCAGTCCCGTTCACAACGTTTGCAAATCGCTGTGAAGCAATAAGAGGAGTAACCGCATCCATCGTCGCCAAGAAATTCGTCACGAAGGTAGATCGCTCCAGCGGCGAAGCGGTGTTGTTCGAACATATGAGAGCCACCTCAGTGGCTCTCGGATCAGCCGCAGACTGAATTACAAAACGAAACAAGAGAATCAAAAGAACTCGGATCAAGAAGGAGAAATCGTGAGGTTTCATTTTGGTGATTAGAACAAAATCAGAGAAAGAAATCGGAATTGTAAGGATTTACAAACGGAAGCGAAGCCATTGAAAGGGATTATGTATGGGAAGGAAGTTGCAGATGCGGCTTCCATTGTTGACTTTGTGGACTGTAAGAGACGACTAAGACGCGTACTCGCCGGAACATATTGCAAACAACAAATTAATTACACTTCATAATTAAATTCCGCGGCAGTTTTATACAGACATTTTTTGTATGGGACAATTTTCGTGTTATTTATAATAATAAAAAATAATATAATATATCATTAAATTACGTGTTAAATACTAAATAAAATAAGTATGTAATTTTTATTTTTCGTGCTAAATTAGATACCTTATTGTCTAATAGATCGACCCAGAAAGGACGAGTATCAGAATATGTAGATTCTCGAAAAAAGTTTCCAGTTTGGTTAAGGGACGTGATTGAGACATCCGACATGCAACCATAAACAACACCCCTTGTATAAGCATGACCGTGACACCATACAAGGTCGATACAAGCACGAGACTACTGTGCACCATCGACTTGGATACTTTTTTCAGTATGAGAGCTCACGTACAATATTTAGAATGAGTTAATTCAAGCCTCCGGTCATTTGATTAAAAGGTATATTTTATACTAAAAATCATAGACGTCGACTTCTATTACGACTATTTTTTTAAGAAAATAAATAATAATTTAATGCAAAATAGGGATATAATTTATTATTATTATTTAAATACATTTTCGTAAAGTACAGACTACATATTTATTGATAATAAATTAACATTTTTCATATTTAAATGATTAAAATTTCTTTTAAAAAAACTGGAAATTTATAATTATATGTCTATGGATTAATATTAAAAATGTTTATTATGTAAATATTATTATTTTTGTATAATATAATAATATATTATATATATATATAAAAATAATTTGGCTGAAATCTTGTTGTGGGACCCACTTTTGATGGTTTTTATTTATTTTTAAAATAAATTAATGGATTTTCTGTTCCAGTCCATTAGCAGCCGATTCTTTTGACCTTCTGCGTTGACTTCTGACCAATAATGGAATTTTGAGGGCGTGTTTTTTTTATTTTTCATTTTTTTTTAAATTTCTCATTATTCATTTATTTTTATTTTATTTTAATTTAATAATAGACTAATTAGTTGAATAATCTCCATCTTAATCTATAATAATATGTATTACGTATATTAGAATTTTAAATAAATACCGATAATTAATTTTTATAAAATTAAATTACTATCAAAATTGATTAAAATAAATGAAGGTGGAACGAGACTATTTTTTCATTTGTGTCCGATTTAAACTTTAAAATTTATTTATATTTAATAATTGCTCGAAAAACTACCTAAGTTTATTGTAACAATTTTATGGAATAGTTTAAGTATTAATTGTTGCAAATTCTCGTACATAATTTTAAAAAAAATTCAAAAGAACGAGCACAAAATTGATTACAACCATTTATTAAAGACATAAAAACTAAACGTTATTGACTATTAAATACCATAGAATCATATATTTGCCTAGCTCACATTATTTTTAAAAAATATTTAATAAATTTTTAAAGTTCAAATTTTTTTAAAATTTTTAATTATTATTATTATTGAAATTTTGCTTATTAAATTTAAACATCAATAACCTAAATAAAAAATAATTTAAATTTTAAAATTTGACATAAAATTTAATTTAATTTCTAATAAATCAATTAAATTTTTAAAATTTTGAATAAATAAAAAATCTATTAAATTTGCGAAGAAATTTATAATTTAATAAATTATATATAAATTAATGGAGAGTGTGAAAAAAAAAAAGAAAAAAAAAAGGAATTAATGGAGGACCGGACACCGCCAAGTATGCGTCTATTCTCAAATGATTGTTCCCTCAATCTCACGGCGGTCCCATTTTTGAATTTTTGGTCATTTCGGTCTTTAATTTATTTAATTTTTCTTATTTTTTTCAAAATTCTTTTTATTAATGACATTTACGTCCCACCATTTCTTTTTAATTTCCTTTCTTATTCTATTATATAATTTATTTATTTATTGTCGATGATTTGTACCCCTAATTTGCTACCTGGGGATGAATTTTGTTGGCATAGTTTATATCGAGGATTATTAGGAGTGAGTCTCACGTTAGTTAATTTAGTGGAAGAACATTGTTTTATAAGTGAGGAATACTATCTTCATTGGTATAAGGTCTTTTGGGGAAGCCCAACGCAAAGCAATGAGAGCCCACTTATGCTCAAAGTGGACAATATTATACCATTGTAGAGATTCGTGATTTCTAACATGTTATATATTAGGTATATTTTTATTTACTTTTGTGTTACTTTATGTTTAATTAATTGTTTTACGAAGTCCAAATAATATTATTATATGGTCTTTACCTACTCGCATTATATGTATAATCAATTCATACGCAAAATATAGAACAATTTGAGGTTAGACTATATAAATGAAAGCGAAAAAAAAGGCAAATAATCTTTACCTAAAATTAAAGTAACTTTGACTTTTGAATTTTTTTTGGGTTATAAAAAGATATTTGAGCTATGGTTGTCGAAATTAGAATAAAGTAATGCACATGACTTTCACATGATATGGACAAAAATATTTATTTGAGCGGAGAGAATGTGACTTGTAAAATAGGTGAAACTATGTATACTGTTTGGTATTGCAATCGCACTTTTTCGGCAACAAAATAACGATGGCGTGACACTTGTTTTAACTCATCTATGGCCGACAATTCAGAAACACCTTTTGGGCCCTAATATCAAAGAGGCCCAACATCTCTGGGCCCTATTATCCAGAGGCCCAACATCTCTTAGATGGTTGTGATGAAAATGGGCTCAAATATCCAGAAATCAAGAGGCCCAACATATCTGGGCCCTATTATCAAGAGGCCCAACATCTCTGGGCCCTATTATCAAGAGGCCCAACATCTCTTAGATGGTTGTGATCAAAATGGGCTCAAATATCCAGAAATCAAGAGGCCCAATATCGCTTAGATGATTGTCATTAAAATGGGCCCAAAAATCCAGAAATCAAAAGGCCCAACGTCTCTTATATGATCGTCACTAAAATGGGCCCAACTCCAACATCTCCCATCTCCCATCTCATCCTTCTTCTTCTTACTCCACGTGGCAACTCTCCATAACCTTTGGGTAATTAAAATAATTTAATTTTAAATAGTTTAGCTTGAATAATGGTTAAGCCATTTTTATTTTGAAACTAACCAGACAGACAGACAAAAAAAAAAAAAAAAAAAAAAAAAAAAAAAAAAAAAAAAAAAAAAAAAAA